GCTTTAAAAAATTGATTAAGTCAGAACAAGAATCCTCCAACTGCTTTTTCCCATTGAAGCCTGAGACTCCTGGAGGAGGCAGATTTGTGATGGATCTGTAAAATGGCTCATAGCAAAATGAAAACACCTGGGCAACTAGAAGAAGGCTCATTTGTGTAAGAAAAGCCCCAAAGCAACAGCAGTGCACATGGCTTTTAAAATTTAGAATCCATCTCTGACTTCTTTTTTCCCTTCTGAGATCCCACCGTGAAACACCAGCAAAAATCAGGAACCCCCGCACACTCCAAGAACCACCATTCAGCTCTCCCCAGCACAAGCCTGGAGGAAGGATATTGAAAATGTCTACTAGGAAGGATGAGTACTTGAGCAATACTGTCCCCAGGACTGATTCTGCACAAATTCTGCCAATCAAATGGCGTCATGCAGTTTCTTTGTAAATTTTCCACCTGGGTCAGCGTATAAGCTGCCTGCATTCCATAGGTGGCCACCGACTCTTTTAATCTCTGTATTATTTTCCAGTCTAGTGGCTCATGAATTCTCTGATTATTTTGATCTTGGAATACTGGGAAAGCTCCAGTTTGTGAAAATACCTTGCCCCACATGTCCGCGTGATGACTACGTGTTCCTCCCGCCGCATATGGCAGATCGGGGGTCTTATACAGAGGGGGAGCAGTTGGCCCTCGTGGTTCCTCTTTGTGGGGACAAACGCTAGCAGCAGCCCCAGCTGCACCTCTTCCCCTTAAAGTCATTTGCGAAACCAGACTCTCTAGGTCCTCTTCCTCATATAGATCCTCCTCCTTCTGCTGGAGACTCTGTAAACCTTGGTCAGAGAGCTCCTCCTTCACTTCCTCTAGGGCTTGAGCTCCCTGAGCAATATCGTCCTGGTATTTCCCTGACTTGTCAGTAAGGCATGTCCTCACCAGCATCCAGACAGCTAGGGTCCCCCTAGGGAGGCGGCCGTCGGAGTCCGCATCCAGCAGGTCCTTCCCTAATCTTTCTTCCCTAATCTTTCCCATGTAGGTGGATTTATAAACCCTTCCTCAAGAAACCATGGAGCCTCACTAGATATCGTATCCAGAAAATTTTCTACTGCCTCAGCCGTTAGTTGTAGCCCACTGTTCTCCGGCAGCTGCGCGAGCGTGATATGCGCTTTTGTTTGCCAGCCGCTGGAGCCCATGCTGTAAGAGCGTTCTTTATAAAGGTTGTTCTAAGTAACTTCGTCCCTGTCTCCGGGAACCTAACTTCGTCCCTGTCTCCGGTAACCTCAGTAGCGCTACCCCTTTGCCGCTTACCTGCGGACCTTACCCTTGAATTTTCTTAGGCCTTGAAGAGTTCCCCGTACGGGCCACCACTTGCCGTAACCCAAGACTCCGTCCGGCAGAGTCAAGGAGAGACAACACAGACACCAAGGTGAGGTTCAGGCTTCTTCCTCCTTTATTGCGCACTTCAGTTCTTATATATTTTGTTCCCAACAGCCCTTCCCCCAGCTAGGACCAATCAAGGCACACACACGCATGCAGCAGGCATGCAGAATGGCAGCTCATTGGACCACATAGCAGGGTCATGCTTGGTGATGTCTCTGATCAGGCAGGCAGCACATGATAGGGCTCATAGCGCTTGCGCGAGTTGGAGTAAACAAGCGAGGGTCATGAGGCTTGGCAGCCAGCCAGGGCACCATCTTTGGCTGACTCGGCTGGGCTCGCTCCCCACACTTAGCAACCCCTTGAAAATAATAGCTTCCAAGCCCATTGTACAGACAATAAAGTGGAGTGCTTTTAAAAGTCCACACCTGAGCACAGATGGCCTTGCTTTCTTCCTCAGCATCTTAACCTTTGAACAGAAAAATAACATTAAGATCTCTCTTAGTAAACTCCACCTCTCCTGCACATCAGCTTCTTTTGAAATGTTTTTCTGTGTTGAAGTTTAGGATCCAGTTTTATCTAAGTCAGTGTCCCTAAAAGATTAAGAGAACTTGTCAGGCTGATGCTGGTGACAGCTGGGGCTCTGCCTCCACACTGCTGCTGCTGACATACCACACCCAGAACATCTAGAGCAACGCCTGGCACATAAGAGGTGCCTGAGATATTTTCCTTAAAGAAGTACACAAGTATTCTGTTTCTTGAGTGATAAATGTCCCGAGGATTCCCAGAACTTAACTCCTGGGTGAAGGAGGAATAGCAGATGGTCAGAACCTCCAGGTTCTGGGAGAAGTCCACAGAAGTGGGAATTCCTTCTCGGTTCCAACTGGAAGGGAATATGAAGCCTCAGAGAGGCCTTTGAAAGGAGGCAAATGTGGTGCTGGAGAGATGGCTCAGTGGTTAAGAGCACTGGCTGCTCTTGCAGAGGACCCAGGTTCGATTCCCAGCACTTACATGTCAGCTAACAACTGTCTATAACTCCAGTTCCAGGGGAATCCAATGCAGACATTGCATTACACAGATGCACTTACATACATACATGTAGTCAATACACTCATAGACATAAAATAAAAACAATAAGTAAAAAAATGAGCAAAAAAGATAAAGGAGGCAAAGGGCTGGAAGTTCTATGCTAGACACCAGTTGTGCTGAAGAGGTGAAGTTCCCTTCATGCAGTGTATGAAATGATATCCCTGACTTTTCCTGCCCAAAGAAAATGACAGCATCTCCCTAGAGTAGAATATATTTGGATGCTTGTGGGAGCACAGAGCAAGCAGCCAAAAGGTGAAGGAAGCCGTAAATGTGAGGGAGGTTGAAAGTATAGATGGTGACATCTGTTTCAATAAAGACCTCAAGCAGGGGCAAGCTAGGGAGAGAAAGTAAGGAGTTCTGTATGTTTTACTTGCATTTATTATTTATTTATTATTTATTCATTTTATTTATTTGTGTGTGTGTGTGTGTGTGTGTATGTGTGTGTGTGTGTGTGTGTGTGTGTGTGTCTGGGGATGGAACCCAGAGCCTTGAACATGCTAAGCAAGTTCTCTACCACCAAGCTATAACTAAGCGTTAGAGTTCAGTTTGAGCCAAGCGAAATCTTCAGTGCTTGTGGGACATCCAGGCCACCCCTGGTAGGAAGAGCTGTGACTAGGTGTTCTGGCACCAGGCTTCATCTGGAGGTAAGCAGACTTCTTTTAAAGAAAAAAGTTTACTTTTATTTTAATTGTGTGTATATTTGTGTGGGTTTATGCATATGAGTGCAGTGCCTGTAGAGGCCAGAGGCGGACATTGGATCCCCTGGAGCTGGTTATGATGGTTGTTAGCCCCTCTCCCAATGGGTGTTGGAAATCAAACTTGGGTCCCTTGCAAGAGCTGTAGGGCTCTTAACTTGCTAAGCCATCTCTCCAGTCATTGTAAACAGACTTGAGGCAGGCGTCCTGCAGGGCAGGTGGAAGAAGTGTATGAAATGTATACAAAGAGGGTCCTTCTGTCCTCTCAGCCCCCACCCTCACCCCATTACCAAACAAGCTTCCAATGAAAAGGATTTTTGTTGTTGCTAGTGTTTTTTCTTTTTTCTTTTTTTTTTTTTTTTGACAGGGTCTCCATAGCCCTGGCCCACCTGGAACTATGTAGACCATGCTAGCCTCGATCTCACAGAGATCCACCTACCTCTGCCTCTTGAGTGCTGGGATTAAAGATGCATGGCACTATACCTAGTGCTATTTTTTCTTTAAATTTTTTTATTTTTGGTATATATATATTATTTTATATGTATGAATTCATGTATGTAAGTGTGTCCATGTCGTGCAATGCCTCTGGAGACCATAAGAGGATGTTGGATCTCCTGGAACTGGAGTTACTGAAGGTTGTGAGCTGCCATGAGGGTGCTGGGAATCAAAATCAGATCCTCTGCAAGATCAGCCGGGGATCTTAACTGTTGAGCCATCTCTCCAGTTCTGTTGCTGGTGTTTTTTGATACAATCTCACTATTATAGGTAGTCCAGGCTGGCCTTGAACTAGTGAGTGTCTTGCCACTGTCACACTCTTTGAGGTAAAACTGTTGTGGAGGTATGGTAATAAGATGGCGCCGAGCAGCTTAGGTGAAGGCGGAGCCAGCTGGCCAGCTTGGCACGCAACAAAAAGAGAAAGTAGTACTGATTAAAGCTTAGCCAGTGAAGGACGCATGACCACCTCGTGAACACTATGTTATGCTATGAGAAGGGCCTGCGTGCTAATACGTGACCTCTGAGCTGATTGGATGCCGGCCTCCCCGCCTATGCTATGCTTGTGGTTGTTGCCTTTAAATATTGTTCAGCCTTAATAATAAATGAGTTCTAGCTTAAAGCTACTCCCTGTCACGTCTGATTGTCCTGGGAGAGAAGGGCTGGCGAAACGGCTGACAGCGCACTTACCCCTCCTCGACCCCCATCACCACAGCCTCTTGTTCCTCTCCCCAAGACGAAGGGGTTCAGAGACCGTGGCAAGCTGTCACCCAGTTTTTTGCAAGGAGGGCACAAAAGGAACATGATGGACTATACAGTGAAGTGGGTGATGAATGAGTTCACCCTTGAGACCAGAACAGGAAGAGAGTTTATTGGCATACTGCTTCAGGACAGATAAGACAGCACCAGGAGATGCAGGAAGCAGGTTTAGCAGCCTTGGCCCAGAGAGACTCCTGTCTTAAAGTTCTGAGCCCTGAAGGAAAGTAGCACATATCTTTTATACTTTAGGCACTGGGTTACAGTGAGAAGGAAACTTACATATTGATTGGCTATCAGTACAGTTTCAAAATTAGGCAAATTACAAATTTAGAAAGAAAACAAATGTTAAAAAAAAAAATTCTCTGTCCAGGGCTGGAGAGATGGCTCAGCGGTTGCGAGCACTGGCTATTCTTGTAGAAGACCCTGGTTCAAATTCCAGCACCTAAACCACTGCTAACAACCATCCACAGCTCCAGTTCCAAGGGATCTGACACCCTCTTCTGTCTTCAGCAGGCACTGCATGACACTGGTGCATTTACACATATGCAGGCATAACACTCATACTCACACACATAAAAAATAAAAATAAATAAAATTTAAAAAATCCTTAGACTGAAAATCATTGCAGAAGTCTCCACTGAGACAAACAGAGTTGAGGAAATTTCATCAGGACACAAGACGGTCTGGCTAGCTGTGTCAAATGTTCTAACCATAAACTTGTCAGCTGAAATTTGCTGACAGAGACAGAGGGAGAAAACAAGGATTAAAAATCCATATTTCCTTAAATATTCCATATAGCTACAGTAATACCGCAAGAGGGCAGCAGGCTGGTAATAACTATAATTCCATGGGTCATGTAGTGTATTGGTTAGGATGAGTTCTTTGTGTGTAGTTTCCTGGCGTGAATTTCTCCATGGGAGTGAAGGAGGGCAGTTCAGATTAGCTGGTGTACAGTTTTAGGGTAGATGCCAGCCGTTATGTGTGTAATTTCGAGCTATGCAATCTCTGCCATGCAAATACATGGCGTCCTGGTTGATGAGAGTTCTGTTCGGGTCAGACACGCTCCGGCACGTGAAAATTCCCAAACTGGGAACCTGCTTCATTTTCTGATCTCTTATCCACGGCCTTCCCTCCACAGACTGCGGCTCCAGGATATATTGACCCGAGACAAAACAACCTAAACACCTACTTGACAGGCTGCCTGGCTCTTGCTAACCTGCAGACAGTGAGGCCCCAGAGGCGTTCGCACTCCCGGCTGCATCTCCGCCTCCTGCGCAGAGAAGTCCCCGCCCACCCGGGCCCATCGGCCGGAGACTAAGTTTTCGGCACTTGAAGATGCTGTGGCCATTTTGGAAGAGGGCTAGGAGACAATGACCCGGAAAGACCAGTGACGTCAGCCTGGGCACGGCGGCGAGGACGCACGGTTCGTGAGACCCCATCGCCACCTTATTTATGAAGGCATCCTCAGGTTCCGATTCCTCGGGCTGCTCTCCGCTTTGCGTGTTTATCTGCCGTAGTGCGTCCTCGCGGAGCTGGTTCTTGTCCCTCCTCGGCCCTAGTGTACGACCCGGGCGCGGGTGGCCCTCGGAGCCAGGCCCGGCAGGGGACGATGGCTGGCCCGGCTCCGGGGCCGGTGGTACCCACGGCGCCGCCCTGTGCACAGCCAGCGTTTACTGACCCCGGGGCGGTGAGCTTCGCTGACGTGGCCGTGTACTTCTCCCGGGAGGAGTGGGGGTGTCTGCGGCCTGCGCAGAGAGCCCTGTACCGGGAGGTGATGTGCGAGACCTACGGCCTCCTGGGCGCGCTGGGTGAGAGCCCTTGGGCCCGCGTGGAGCGTGGCACCGTGGGTCCCACACGTGGAGTGGGCACTCCTAGGTCCGGGCAGCTGGACCCTGGCTCGGCCTCCCTACAGCGTGGGTTTGCTTTCTTTCCCTCCCAGGAGGCGGAGGCGCCAAGCCAGCGCTCATCTCCTGGGTGGAGGAAGAGGCTGAACTGTGGGGTGCCGCCGCCCAGGATCCAGAAGTGGCCGACAAAGGTGAAGTACGGGGTGCTGGGCTCGTTGTGGTACTTTCTGGCGACTCTGCTTGTCTGCCTGGCAGTTTCTTCCCTGAATTACTTTCCTGGCCTAGGCCATTTGTACCTGGCCCCTGGATTCATCTAGAAAGGGGCTGTGATTGTGACCTGGCCCTGCTGAGACCCTGGGCCTACCTGACTGTTCACTGCTCCCACCTCACACCTGGTTAGCTCCTAAGCTACGCTGACTGCAGCCCAGCATCATCATTCTGGCTTCTCCACCACCCCTGTGTTTCCTTTCTGGAGGCTCATATGGCTTCCTTAGTTCTCCCTGTCAACCTCTGTCAAGTGCTTGGCCCACTGGCCTTGAGAATGTGGACCACAATGAGGCCTTTAGGATGCCCCTGCCACCTCGAACATCCATTCTTCCTGCATGCTGCAGCTCAGGTGCTGTCACCTCTCCTCTCAAGTATCCTGCTTGTCACTGGGAGGTGTTGTGGGAATCAAGGAACCTGATGAACGAGCCTTTTCATTATCTCCCAGCAGAGTCCAGACACAGGGAGGGGAAAAGACCAAGGAAAGAGGCTGAAGCACTACTGAAGACACTTTCTACCCTAGCTGAGCTGAACGTCACCTGTTCCTCCACTGCTGGGTCCCCCTGCAGCTTGGAGCTGCTGTCCAAGGCCTCTCACAAGTGTCACCCCCTTCTCCGTGCCCACCCCCCTGTCCCGAGAGCAGACCAGCGATATGGCTGCGGGGTGTGCGGAAAGAGTTTTGCTTGGCGTTCCACGCTGGCAGAGCACCTTTACACCCACACGGGGGAAAAGCCCTTCTGCTGCCCTGACTGTGGCAAGCCCTTCGCCCGGGCTTCCTCGCTGAGAAAGCACCGGGCCATACACCGCGGGGAACGGCCCCATCGCTGTCCTGACTGTGGCCGGACCTTCACACAGCGCTCTGCCCTCACAACCCATCTGCGCGTGCACACTGGGGAGAAACCCTATCGATGTGCTGACTGTGGCCGCTGCTTCAGCCAGAGCTCTGCCCTCCATCAGCACCAGCGCGTGCACAGTGGCTTGACCCCCTTCCCTTGCACAGACTGTGGCAAAGCCTTTGCCCACGCATCAGATCTTCGGCGCCACACGCGCACCCACAGCGGTGAGAAGCCTTACTCGTGCCCTGACTGTGGGCGCTGCTTTCGCCAGAGCTCTGAAATGGCAGCCCACAGGCGGATCCACAGTGGCGAGCGTCCCTACCCCTGCCCTCAGTGTGGCAGGTGCTTTAGCCGAAAGTCAGCTGTAGCAAAGCATCAGTGGGTCCATCGGTCTGAAGCTAGGGACAGTAAGGGCAGGGAAGCCAGTGAGTTGTCTATATCCCTGGCCCCTGGCCAAGGGGACCCAGACCCACCTGTGGCTTTCCGACACTTTCCAGGTATACTCCAGAAGTGTGGAGGATGGCCTTAAAAATGACAAGGCAGAGGGTGACAAATCCATCCTGCCTGAAGCCCTAAGACAGCCCAGGGATTTGAACCTCTGGCATCCTCCAGGAAGTCAAAATTTCTAGCAAGAGTTGGTCTTGGAGACCCAGTGCACTCTGAGGTGGTTAGCAGCTTGGTTTGTAGACACTAGCTCCCACTGCCCCAGGTTTTCTTGGCAGGTCTGAGGTGGGAAACTCCACAAGAACTCCAAATGGGAAGCAAGGACAGTTTCCTGGCTCAGAAATATTGAGAGAGTTAAGGTTGAAGAGAGTCAATTTAACCTGTTGCCTCTTCAGTGCAGAAGTTAAAGCTGATGGTCCTTTGTGAATTGGGCTTGCTGCATTTTCAAAGGTTAAAAGTTACTGGTCAAGAGCCTGGTGTGGTGGTATAGCACTTGGGAGGCAGAGACAGGAAGATCACAAATTTGAGGCCAGTGTGGACTACATGACTTTCTGAAGATCGATCAATAAAAAGTAGATTAAATTAGTGGTTGACATTTAAAAATCAAAGTATTTCACACACAAAAAATTCTAGCTTCTCTTTTAAAAAAAATACAAAGACTGGCTGGCTGTAGGGGCACACGCCTTTTTTAATCCCAGCCCTTGGGAGGCAGAGACAGGAAGATCACAAATTTGAGGCTAGTTTGGACTATATGACTTTCTGAAGATCGATCAGTAAAAAGTAGATTAAATTAGTGGTTGACATTTTAAAAAGTATTTCACACACACAAAAAATTCTAGCTTTTAAAAAAATACAGACTGGCTGGGCGTGGTGGCACATGCCTATAATCCCAGCCCTTGGGAGGCAGAGGCAGGTGGATCGCTGTGAGTTTGAGATCAGCTGGGGCTACAGGGAAACCCTGTCTCAAAAAGACCAAAAAAAAAAAAAAAAAAGTCAAAGATTTATGGGACTGGCAAAATGGCTCAGTGGGTGCAACACTTATGCCTCTTCCAGAGCACCCTGTAGTTTGGTTCCCAACATCAGGCAGCTCACAACTACCTGTAACTCCAGTTTCAAGAGACCCAGTGCCCTCTGCCTTATGGTGCACATAAACTCATGCATGCACACACATACACATAAATAAAAATATATTTGGGGCTGGAGAGATGGCTCAGTGGTTAAGAACACTGTTCTTGCAGGAGACCTGGGTTTGAATCCCAGTACCCACATGGCAGCTAAGAACTGTCCGTAACTCCAGTTCCAGGGGATCTGACAGCCTCTTCTGTCCTCTGCATGACACGGGTGCATTTACCTACATGCAGGCAAAACACGCATACACATAAACTAACCACATGGCAGCTATGGACCGTCCTTAACTCCAGTTCCAGGGGAATCTGATGCCGTCTTCTGACCTCTGCAGCATTGCACTACATGGGTGCACTCACATACATGCAGGCAATACACTCATACACATAAAAAAATAATATATTAAAACATATGTATATTTTAAAACTGTAAAGATTAGCTAAGCATGGCACCACACACTGGCAGCTCAGCCCTTGGGAGGCTGAGCCCAAAGAACTGCTGAGAGTTCTAGCCATTTGCCAACCCTTCCCTGAAAGCTTTGTCCAGTCCTGGAAGAGCCCTGGTCTGGGCCTTCTTAGTCACTCTAAGCTCAGCCAGAGTCTCCTCACCTTTTTGAGCTAGAAGAGATCTTTGCTTTCCTGTCCTGTGTTCAAAGATACAGTTCAGATGAGACCAAGCAACCTGCCCGAGATCATACACAGTGAAACCTGTAGCTCCAGCAGGCCTGGAACTCACCATACAGACCAGGCTGGCCTTAATCTCACAGAGATTTGCCTCCCAAGTGCTGGGATTAAAGGTGTGTGCTGCCATACCCGGCAGATTTTTTTTTTTTGGTCTTTTTGAGACAGGGTCTCCCTGTAGCCCTAGATGGCCTGGAACTCACTATGTAAACCAGGCTGGCCTTGAACTCACAGAGATCTGCCTCCAGAGTGCTGGGATTAAAGGCATGCACCACCACACCCGGCCTCGATAATGTATTTTTTTTAAAGAGACATCATCTTGGTATCTGTCCCTCTAGACTCCTGGACTCAAGTGATCTTTCAGCCTTAGCCTCCCAGGTAAATGATGCTGTCTTCACATCACTCATGAGTTCTTTCCAGGATGAATGGCCAGCACCTGAAATCTGAGCACTGGGGAGGCTGGGGCAGGAGAGTCCCAAGTTCATGGCAGCCTGGGCTACTGTCTCAGAAAAACCCAAACTAGAGAGAGGGAAAGGGAGAGGGAGAGAGAGAGAAAAGGAGTAGGAAGAGGAGGGGCGGGAGAGATAGCTCAGTGCTTCTTTCAAAAGCATGAGGACCGGAGTTTGATCCCCAGCACCCACATAAAAAAAAGCTGGGCAGCCGAAATAAGAGTATCTCTGGAGCTCCTGGTCAGCCTGTCTAGCCTAACTGTGAGCTCCAGGACAAGGGGAGATCCTGTCTCAAAGGATATAGACATAGTTCCTGAGGATGACATCCAAGGTTGTCTTCTGGCCTCCATATGCATGCATCCACATTTGCACACATACCCAAACACATAGAGGCATCCACATACCCTCAAATATGCACACATACATGCACTTAAATACGTGTGCACACAAATCTAAAATAGAAACGTATATTTGTGAACATGTAACGTTACCTATTTTTGTGAGGAGTTCCTAGTACTTCTCAATTTATGAGCTCAGACAGCAAACTTTAACTTATTCTTTAATCTTTAAATTTTACTTATTATTATGATGTGTGTGTTTGTCTGTGTGTTAGAGAACAATTTTTGGGAGTTGGTTCTAAGTTCTGTGGATTGAACTCGGCATCAGGCTGGCATGGTGAGTACTTTTACCTTCTGAGCCATCTTTACAACCCAGATTTATAAACTTTAAAAACCATATTTTGAGCCAGGTATGGTGGCGCATGCCTTTAATCCCAGCACTTGGGAGGGAGAGGCAGGCAGATATCTGTGACTTCAAGGCCAGGCTGGTCTAAGTAGCAAATTCCAGGTCAGCTGGGGCTACAGGGAGATCCTGTCTCAAAAAGACCGAAAAACAAACAACATCCCCCTTCCCCCCATATTTTGGTGGCTTGGGATGTTATTTCCTCTAGCATCTTCTTTAATCATTGCAAAACCAGACACTATCTTGAACTCCTCCTGCCTCTACCTCCAAGTGCTGGGATATGGGCGTGCACCACCAAGCCTTGTGGTTCTTTAAAATCAGGACATTATTGTGGAAATGTTTGCGAATATCAGACTCTAAACTAGCTCGTCTTTTTCTTGTTAATACTGGACCCTCTTTGTTCTCCTTTTTCTCACCCTTTTCTCCCACTTTTTTTTGTCCGTTCCATACTGCACAACAAAAAGGTTAAGGAATGATAATAGATGTTCCAAGTAGTGCTTGTGAGGCTCCTGCCGTATTTCCAGCAGATGCTATTGAATTCCAGTGTGAACCGTTCTTCTGTGTAGAGAATCCCCACCAAACTCTACCTGCTGGCTGTGCGCTTCTCAGCCATAACCTCGGCTCTTGTGGCAGCCATTGTGGAATTGCAGTTCACCTTTATTTTACTTACTAACGGCCCCAAAGCCCAAGACGATTGGTGCTGGCAGTTAACGTGCCAAACAAAAGTCATAAAGTGCTTCCTCTAAGTGAAAAGATGAAGGCCGTGGACTGAATATAGAAAGAAACAAAAACCGGGCGTGGTGGCACAGGCCTTTAATCCCAACACTGGGGAGGTAAAGGCAGGAAGATCTCTGCAAGTTCAAGGTCAGCCTGGTCTAAGTACCAAGTTCTAGGCCAGCTAGGGCTACAGGGAGACTCTGTGTTAAAAAGAGTAAAAAAAGAAGGAAAAAAAAAAGTGAGATTAAGATCAGTGGCAACTGCCCACTATGGCAATGCACATCTGAGATCTCAGCACTTGGAAGATGGTGGCAAGAGGATCAAGAGTTCAAGGTCAGCCTCAGCTACACAGACAGTTTGAGGCCAGCCGGGGCTAGGTGAGATGCCTCAACAAACAAACAAACATACAAACAGAAGCTGGGGAGTTGACTTACTGGGTAAAACTTGCTGCATAAGCATGAGGACCTGAGTTCAAATCCTCTTAGTAAGTTCTAGGCCACCCTGAGCAACATGAGACCCTATCTCAAAGAGAGGGAGAAAGCCAGGTATGGTACTCATGCCTGCAATCCCTGTACCTGAGAGGTGGATGCAAGAGGATTGCTATGAGCTCCAGGCTAGCTTGGGCTATAGAGTGAGACACTTTTAACAAAATAATTTAGAGACAGAAACATCAGAAGATCCATACCAGCCTAATCCATGTTGCAAACCTGTGCCGTTCTTACTTATCCCCCAAGCATTGTACCATCTCATGTCACAAGGTATCTATAGTACAATGAAACATTTTGAGAGAGGACATCCACATAACTCACATTACTGTGTATTGTGATAATTCTTCCATTTTATCATTGGTGTTAATCTCTTCCTGTGTCCAAATTATGTGTTAGACTTCACCATAGGTATGACTCTATTAATATATATATATATTTATACATACATATATATATAGTAGTGTTTGATATTATTCTTCACCTTAGGTATTTCCTGGGGGTATTGGAGCATAATCCCCTGTGGTACAAAGTAATCACAGAACCATCCTAAAATGGACATTTGTCATTTAGTAGTTATGCAAACAACAGATTGGGAAATTTTGAGGGTGACATCAGCTTCTTCCCTTTCACTTTTAGTGTACAGACAGTATTTTCTTTTTTAAAAAATATTTTTTTGTATTTTATATGTATGAGTGTATTGCTTGCATGTATGTGAGAGCACCCATGTCATGCAATGCCATGGCGGTCAGAAGAGGGCTTCAGATTCCCCTGGAACTGGTATTAAGGACCGTTTGTAGCCGCCATATGGGTGCTGGAAATTGAACCTGGGTCCTCTGCAAGAGCAGTCAGTGCTCTTAACTGCTGAGCCATCTCTCCAGCCCCTATTTTCTTTTTATTTATTCATTTATTTACTTAATCTTTTATTTTATATATATGAGTATTACGCCTGCATGTATGTGAGTGCACCTGTGTGTTGTGCTGTGCCTGAGGAGGACAAAAGAGGGTGTCAGATCTCCTGGAACTGGAGTTAATAGGTGGTTGTTAGTCACCATGTGGATGCTGGGATTCAAACCTGGGCCTTCTAGAAGAGCAGCCAGTGCTCTTAACCGCTGAGCCATCTCTCCAGACCCTGTAGGCAGTATTTTCATGGAGACTTTCTGAAAACTGAAAAGGGGTTTTTACTTTTTAGGGGATTAAGAAAAATGAACTGAAATCTCCATAACCTAAAACACTCTAAGGGCCTTATGAGATGTTCTTTCTTTGGTGCTGGAGATCCAGTTCAGGGCCTTGAACATAATAGGCAAGTGACTCACACACCCAACATTATTTCAATTACATGCTCCAGAGGCACATCTCTGGAGATAAAATGAGAAAAGCATATTGAA